TCATTATTGGAGAGCTCCTCCCTAAACTTTACTACTTTCCCAAACTTCCCCTCAAATATAAGGAAATTATAGGGAAAGTGTTTGGACTACTAATGCGATCAGGTCACGTTGGATTACTAATACGATCAGGTCACGAGAGAAATAGACTTATTGGTGTATCCCAAAATCTACCTTATTATGGTATATTATACAATCTTACATAGATCGTAGTATGTTTATTAGTATTGAACTTTGGCGCCCATAAAACAAAGAAGTTAAATGCCAAGCAAGTTTGTTTCCTTTTTTGTGTTTTTTTTCAAAAGGACGTTCTAACTGTTACCCAAAAAAGAAAAGAAAAGAAAAAACCTTTTCTTTTATTTATTTATTTGTATTTTTATAAACCCTTTTTCTTTTTCAAACCCCAGCAAAACCGGGAGAGGCCAGTGACTATATACCGCCCAAAACCCACGAAGCTCAACAATGCCAAAACCAATAGAGAGATTGAAACAGTCTCTCTTGTTAATTCCGCTCTGTGGGAACTAACATATTCGAAGTTTCCCTCAGCACCTGGACCCGGACCCAAGCAACGACAAGCAGCATTGCTCCAGCCATGGAATCAAGAGACAAAGCCTCGCCTCCACCAAAGCCCGCCAAGTTCTCAGTGTACCAGAACCCATCCTTGTCCGCTGCCCTCACCGCCAATAGCCTCCGGCCTTCGAAGCATGCACTCCTTTGCATCTTCTTTCTCTCCTCCGCCTCCGCCGTCGCCTTCATTGCCATGTTTTCCAGGTACCCAATTGCTCAATTTGAAAAGCTAGGGTTTTTAGAGGGTTTAAGCGAAGATTTTGTTTATTGGGTTCTTTTGTGTGTGTTTAATATGGGAATTTCGCTCTGTTTGATTGTTGAGAAAAGGAAGGAAGAAAGAATGGGGATAGAAGCTTGAGTTGAATTTATCAGTGTTTGGTTTCTGGGAAACAAAAACCCTTTTATTACTTGCTATGAAAGTGTATAAAAGGAAGAAGGAAAAAAAAAACATAAAAAGACTTCAAATTTATAGTTTGGAGCTTATTTTTCGTTTGGGTTTCTTTGGGTCCTTTTAAGACCTGAATGAACAAACTAAATTTGCATAGCATGTTTGAGCTTATTTATTGACCAACAGGAAATTCAAGGATTTAATTATTCATATTAAGTTTTTGTTATTTATTGAAGAACGAATTTAAATTAGAAGAATGTGTTTTTAGATCTTTGGTTATGGAAATTGGACTTGGCTATATATTATTGCATGTGGCTAACGCAATAAACTGCCTTGAATTGTTGAAGGGAAAATGGGCTTATTGACAATTTGAAGCTCAAAAATCTTTCCCAAGAGGCAGCCTGTAAGTTGTTAAATTCAATCCAGAAAACTTTGATTGGCTTGAACTTGATGCTTTGATTGATATAGTTTGTTTTGAACGTCTTGTTTTGTCCTTCAGATTTGTTTTCCAAAGCGATACAGACCTTCATGGGCTTAGTATTTTTGGGAACTCTATTTGCACTATTTAGAGCCATCTCACTGAGAAATGCCGCACCCTCAAAAGGAAGTAGTGACAAACCATGCCTTACAAATCGTCAACTAGGACTTTTGGGAATTAAGCCAAAGGTTGAGCAAGTCGTATCTGAGTCTTCAAAGAAACCTCCCAAGTCTAAACCCCACATGTCTTCCCCTTCAGATGTACTTGTTCCACTTCATCAGCCAATCACCAGTTCAAATCATTTGTCTCGAATCAGCGGGAATAAGTCAAACATCAGTGGAGGAACTAAGATGGGATCTATCAGTAGCCCTTCTAAATCACCCGGTTCTGCATCTTCTTTGTATCTTGTGTCGGGAGGTGTTTCACCACTGTCTTCTGTTCAGAATTCACCTGGAGTAGATTCAGTGGTCTCCACCCCTTGGTCAAGCAAGCGAGCATCTACAAGAGAGATAATGTCAGAAGAAAAGTTTGAAAGGTTCTTGGCAGAGGTGGATGAAAAAATCACAGAATCAGCGGGGAAACTGGCAACTCCACCACCCACCATTAGAGGCTTTGGTGCAGCCAGTCCAAGTTCAGCTAACACATCTGGAACTACTAGGAGTACACCATTGAGGCCTGTGAGGATGTCTCCAGGTTCTCAGAAGTTCACAACTCCCCCAAAGAAAGGAGAGGGCGAGCTTCCTCCACCTATGTCCATGGAAGAATCTATTCATGCATTTGAGCGTTTGGGCATCTATCCTCAAATTGAGCAGTGGCGTGACAGCCTCAGGCAATGGTTTTCTTCGGTTTTGCTTAATCCTCTACTTGACAAAATTGAAACCAGTCATATTCAGGTTTGTCTTCACCACTTCCACCTCCTCTAACTCATCTTCTTTGTCTTCATATGTTTAACATGAGCTATGGCTGCTTTGTGGTTGGTAAAAGAGTGTTATGTTTCAACCGCAGAGCAAAAATCTGATGGCATGATATGTGTAGTAGTGCAAGTTTCTGTATATAGTGCATTCCATCAATATGAAGTCAGTATAAAATTATTAAATTTATAGGTAATCCAAGCAGCTGCCAAACTTGGGATGTCAATTTCAATTAGTCAAGTTGGAAGTGATTTACCAACTGCTAGAACTGCTACAGTGTCTTCAAATGATAGGACTAAGGAATGGCAGCCAACATTAACTCTTGATGAAGATGGACTTATGCATCAATTACGAGCTACTCTCGTCCAGGCTATTGATGCTTCGGCCTGTAAGTGCTCTTCACTTATGAACATATTTCATTTAAAACTCTTTTTGGATTGTTTTGGCAAAAGATATGTGCTGATGTTTTAATGCAATGCTTCTCATCATATGCAGCCAAGCTGCCTCAAGCCAATCTGCAACAAACCCCACAGCAGAATCCATTGGTCCCTATTATGCAGGAGTGTGTGGATGCAATCACTGAACACCAGAGGCTTCATGCATTGATGAAGGGAGAGTTAGTTAAAGGTCTTCTACCGCAAAGCAGCATTCGAGCAGAATATACAGTACAAAGGATTCGAGGTGCTTAAAATCTTGATTTTTCACTATGTATCAACTTATGCAGGCATCTCATGTAGGATATCTAGGGGAATAGTTTTCAGATTGTGGGTATGTAGTCTTAGAGTTCTGAATAATGGGAGTTTTTGAAATTAGGATTTGACTATTTAAGAAAGATTGATTAACCTGAATTAACTCATCCCAGTAGATTTCTTGGATCACTCCTAAGGTAGAAGACCACACTTTCTAGGGTTTGAGAGAGCTCAAGTGGCTGCAAACCAAAATCAATCTTCATTTGGTGTACACATTACAAAGCTTATATAGGTATCTGCCATGACTTGACCTTAATACAATAATCTAAACCCCTGAAATAAAACAAATCTAATGGTTATATTTAATAAAACATAATCAAAAGACAATTTTTATTAAATGGGCCCACAATAAAATATCAAATTTTTATTAAATGAACTATACATACTCAAATTACAGTACTATGAACAGAAGCTTGCAGTAAAAATAAAGTCCCCATGTCAGGCCGATCAGAACTATCCACCAAATTTCAAGGGCTTATTTTTACCAGTCTATTCATGAGAATAATTAGGTTATGTTAATGGGAAATATATATTATATGTATATCCTTTGCCTCTGTAATCTAAACTTGGTTTCTCCCTGGGGAGTTTAACAGAGCTTGCTGAAGGAACCTGTTTGAAGAATTATGAATATCTTGGAAGTGGAGAAGTATATGATAAAAAGCACAATAAGTGGACTCTTGAGCTGCCAACTGATTCTCACTTGCTCTTGTATTTGTTCTGTGCTTTCCTGGAGCATCCAAAGTGGATGTTGCATGTGGATCCTGCATCCTATGCTGAAGCTCGTTCTAGCAAAAATCCCCTATTCTTGGGAGTCCTACCTCCAAAAGAAAGGTTTCCTGAGAAGTACATAGCTGTCGTATCTGGTGTCCCTTCTGCTCTCCACCCTGGAGCGTCTGTACTTGTTGTTGGAAGGCAAAGCCCCCCAGTTTTTGCCTTGTATTGGGATAAGAAATTGCAGTTTTCTCTTCAGGTAAGTACTTACCACTTGCCACACTTATGCCAAATTAATGTTCTCTAGATTGCTGGTTGTCCAATCTTCATTCTGCAGTATTGTTTTTTACTCACATCTATACATCTTAAAATATTGATTGTGGCAACAATTACAAAATCCCTGGAAATGGGATATGCTGTTGTATTGGTTAAATTGACAAAGAGGTTTCATCTTTAATTCAGGGAATGATGGCACTGTGGGATTCGATTTTGCTTTTGTGCCACAGGATTAAGGTTGAATATGGGGGGATTGTTCGGGGAATGCATCTTAGTTCTTCAGCCCTGAGCATCCTCCCTGTTCTGGAATCAGAAGCTGAGGACTGACTGAACCAAAATATCCCCTTGCAATTGCCTTCATATGGCATACATCATCAACAGGTCCCCTGAACCAGCTATCAACAGTTCATCAAGGAATTTGTTTCATTGCTGAACTTGCCAGACAGGGTAGGATCTTTTCTTCCTGATATGAGGACTGTTCAAAGCTAAGGTTCCATTTGACGGGTTAGGATTATTCTGGAGATGATTGACTTGGACTATACTGAAGATTATTCTGCCTGTCTGCAGATCCAGTATCTCCCTAGTCATAAGTTAAGGGTCCATTTGGATGGGATAATGTAGAAGAACGATTTGGATTTTGACAATATGAATAGGTTAGTTTTAAAAAAGGACACTGGAAACACTAATTTGTAACTTGAATTACTAGTACAACCTAATATTTTCGAGTTCGGACTAAATGAGTCATTTGTAATGCCATTTCTTCTTTTTCTTTCGTATAAAATTGAGTTGTTATTACCATTATATAGTTAAATTGCGTAATTGGACTATTACTTTCAATCCATATATTAACATGCAATTCCCTTCAACGGATATGCCAATAACAATTAGACGAAAAGAAAAGAAAAAAAGGATATGCCGATAACAATCTTCTTATAAAGAATTTGCTTCAACAAGTTGCCCGCCTAGCTCATGACCTTGGTATTCAAACTACAAATTCTAAAACCACGACAACCAAACCTCGACTCTTAACTCAAGTGAGTTTTTCCTTCATTTGAACATGGTGAGCAAGCCAAATACAACAGTCCATGGCGAGGCTGAGTTTCAAGGGACATCCCCTTCTCTACTTTTTAACTCAAATTCCAACTCTAGCCCTCTGCTTTTCTTCATCTTCTTCATTGTCTTCAGCAACAACCCAGATCAAGCATCCAAGGCACTTGGCCTCTATCTTGCTCAAAAACCCAACAAGTCGATCAGCCACCCAACAAATCCACGCTCACATTCTCACCTCTGGCTTTCTCCTCCATCACTCCATTTCCACGGCCCATCTTCTACTCTTCAACACTTTGCTTCGTTGCTATTCCTTTGGCCCCTTCCCTCGTGAAGCTTTCACTTTCTATAAACACCTCCAACATTTTTCCCTTTCCTTCGACTCCTTCACCTACTCCTTCCTTCTCCACGCCTCTATTGCCTTAAACTCCACCAACCCAGGTGACCAAATTCATGCCCTCACTCACAAACTCGGTTTCCATTTCCATGTCTACGTTCAAACTGCCTTGCTTAATATGTATGCTGCATGTGGCTCTTTGCTCCTTGCTCTCAACGTGTTCTACGAAATGCCTGAGAGGAATTCTGTCACTTGGAATGTCATGATAACTAGTTTGGCGAAATGGGGTGAGCTTAAATTGGCTCGGTCTCTCTTTGATCAGATACCAGCCCCTACTGTTGTGTCCTGTACTGCCATTATTGACGCGTACTCACGTAAAAATCAGCCCCGTGATGCTGTTGCTTTGTTTCGAAGAATGGTTGTTGAAGATCACGTTGAACCTACTGAGGTTACACTTTTGGCCATATTTCCAGCCGTTTCGGTTCTTGGAGCTCTTAAAATTTGTCAATCACTTCATGCTTACGGTGAGAAGAGAGGATTTAATGCATCTGACATACGTGTCACCAATTCCCTATTGGATTCTTATGCAAAATGTGGCTGCATAGATAGTGCATCGAGATTGTTTGAGGAGGTACCTGTTGAGAGGAAGAATTTGGTGTCATGGACATCCATAATCTCTGGGTTTGCAATGCATGGAATGGGGAAAGAAGCAGTCGGGTATTTTAATAGTATGGAGAAATTTGGTCTCAAACCGAATCGAGTGACATTCTTGAGTATTTTCAATGCTTGTAGTCATGGAGGATTAATTGATGAGGGGCTGAACTTCTTTGGGAAGATGGTCCACGAGTATGAAATTGCACTGGATATCAAGCACTATGGATGCTTAATAGATATGCTAGGGAGGGCAGGGAGATTAGAAGAAGCAGAAAATATGGCTTTGGAGATTCCTTCCAATATCGTTAATGTTGTGATTTGGAGGACGCTGTTGGGTGCTTGTAGCTTTCATGGTAATGTGGAGATGGGTGAGAGGGTGACAAAGAAGATACTGGAGATGGAGAGAGGATATGGGGGTGACTACGTGCTTATGTCCAACATTTTTGCTGGGGTTGGAAGGTTTAGTGATGCTGAGAGAATGAGAAGGTTGCTGGATGAGAGGAATGCCTTCAAACTTCCAGGGCATAGTTTGGTCTAACTGGTGGTGAAGATGGGCAACTATGATGGTTGCCAGAGATTATGACTGCCTGATGATTTCTAGATAATCTTAAGTTTGAGAAAACAAGGCCAAGATCCTGTGAACAAGCTTCTGAGGTCAGCAATAGCTAACTCGTTTGAGAATGCTTCTCTAGGAAGTACTTCTACTTATAAACGCTTCTACCAAAAGCGCTTTTATTATAAAGACGTCGAAATTTTCATAAGAAATCGAAGCTTTTCCAAGAAGCACATGGCAGGTGGTTCTCCAGAAAGCGCTTCTATGGTCCAAAAGAGCTTCTAAACTTTTCTGCCAAACACTGTCAAAAAACACTTTTAACTGTTCCAAAAGCACTCTCAAACGGGTTAATGCTCATAGAACACATGGTGGTTAAAATTCAGTTTCTTCTCGAGCTCTGGCTGGTCCAGTAGGGAATGAAAGACACATTCCCATGGTGTTAGATGATATGATCTAGCATTTGAGATTGCAGAATTATGGGTTTGCAGTTGAAATGAACATTCAGAATACTCTTGACTGCAAGAATACGGAAGATAGCTGGTGTCTGAGAGAGTGAATGAGTTAGCGTCTTTATACTGCACATAGAAAAATGTACAAGGAAAGATGACATTCATTTTTTCTTTCATCGATGTGCTTCAGTGGAAATTAAAGCAAAATGAAACTTATATCCCAAGGCACTCATTGGTACATTCTCCTTTGAGTCTCTTGGTTATTCTAGTCTTTTATGCCTTGTTATCAGCTTGATCCTAACATTTCTGATGTCCTCAAATGGAGGCCTTCTTCTGCTGGTTCCATTTACCACTGCTTGCACATGGAATAAAAAGTGCGTTGAACAAAAGCATGGTAATGGCTTCTGCAAGTGGATGCAGTTGAAGGGCCAATTTCCAGATACTTTTGAAAAAACTACAACAAAATTGCCGAAGAAAAGATGAGAATGACCTTCAAGTTCTTATATATGAATCCCTTGGTATTCTGGAGATGGTCAAGAAGTCGACCAGGGGTTGCAACCAATAGATTTACTCCTTTTACAAGACGTTCTGCTTCACATCTCCTAGCTGCACCACCGATAACCAAGTCAACAGTATGTGAGTGGTACTTCAGAAGGTCCTTTGCCACGGCATAGGTCTGAATTATTTGAAAGGAAAAGTAGTCAGGGTAGAAAGAAGGGGATCAACTGTAAATCTCAGAATACAACAGCATAACAAGTAATCTTAAAAGGCATAAATTTTTACGCACACATTTCCATTTTCGGCTTCATTATCTTTAGGCAAAAATTAATCTTAACCTAGATACGTCAAATTTGTTGAGGCATCAAAAAGATGTGTTCTTGAATTGGAGCGAGCTCAATATAAGAAGAACGTAACATTTCAAAACAAATAACGAGACTATGCCCAGGGTTTCTCACCTGAATTGCAAGTTCCCGTGTTGGGCAAATGACAACAACACCCGTTCCATTACGAGGAGTAAACTTTGTGTGATATAGCAACTCCACAGCTGGTATAAGAAAAGCAAGAGTCTTCCCGGATCCTGTCCTAGCAGCTCCGAGGACATCTTTTCCGATCAATAGTGATGGGATTGCTCTGGCTTGATCTGACTGACCGGAAGTAAACTACCAACTGCCAAGACCTACCTAACTACACCACTCTCCATTAATTTATTAAGTAATTAACTAAATAGTTACTTAACTAATATATAATTATTGCCATACCAGTAAGCTTCCTTCTCTCTCTCTCTCTCTCTCTCTCTCTCTCTCTCTCTTTTACCTTTTGACCAAGGTATTTTCCTATCAATACTATAAAAGGCCAAAGCCTTGATTATTAGAAACTTATAAAGCCTGTAAATTAGGAGCTAATAAAATCAAGTTCGGCCAGAAAATTTACCTGAGTCATATACTGAAAGTTGAGTTCCTGAATGGCCTTGAAAGTGTTGGCAGACAAATTCAATGAACCAAAGGAGTCTGTGCTCATAATCCCAGACCCTCCACCACTTTTGACCTTCTTCTTCCTCTTATTCTCCTCCTCCACCCCCTCTGCGTTGGCCTCTGCTTCCTCTCCCTTCATTTTCTTCGTCTTCTTCTCCTTCTTATTGTCATCATCACCTTCTCCTTTCTCCTCTTCTTCGTTTTGTTGGGCCTGATAAGGGTTTCGAGGCTCTGATTCTTCCGATGGTTTCTTCCCTCTCTTTCTCTTGTGCGTCGTCTTCTTCGTCTCGTCGTCCGGAGATGCGTAACGGATTGGGTCTGTCATGGCGACTAGTTCTCAGACGCTGAGAATAAGACGAGCTCTCTCGCAGAAACTCTGATAATGCAGCTGTGAATTGAGGGTTTAAGGTTTTGTTTTGGTCGATATGAGGAGAAATTTTTGTAGGTACCCGTCAATGAGAATGTGACACGTGTAATAATTTATTTTTAGTCTTAGAATTGCAGTAGTCTACTCACTCTTCTGAACTCGCATGAAGGTCGGCCCAATTACCCAGACTTGCTTTACAGATGCATACAGAGACGTGGTAGATCCCATCCCACTCCTTGTGGTCTAATTCCATTTATTATTCCATCAATCTCAAATAATGTGTGATGTTATTAAGAAATTAGGAAGAAGAAAAAAAAAAAAGAGCTTTCAAGATGTGCAGAATAGCGGAGGAAGGGGAAAGAAGGCATCAGCGTCTCCGTCGCAGGCGGTGGCTGCCGGAATATTCCAGATCAACACTGCCGTTTCCACTTTCCGTCGACTGGTCGATGCTATCGACACTGCCAAGGACACTCCAACCACCGCCAAAAGCTGTGCGTCTCTCTCTCTCATCACTGCTTTTGAATCTTGATCTGCAATTATTAACATTGTTCTTCCTGCATCTTCTAACATTTCTTTCCAAACAACATTGCAAGAATTCCAGAAAGTTCAGCTCTGCGGCCTTGTTGGCTTACCTCCAGTAAGCAGGCTGCTATCCTTGACGGCAAAAGGGTTGTTGTCAGAGAAAATTTGTAGTTTTAGGGTTTTGTTTGAAAAACTGGAAATTGATAAATAAAAAATGGAAAGATTACGACTGCAGCAAAAGACTAACAGAGTTAAAAGGCTAATGGGGTTCAAAGTTACTATAATTTTAGAGTGGTAATTTCTCAACTTCAATTTTATCCCCTTACACTTCATTTTATAATTAAAAAAGAAGCGTAAGTGGATAAAATTGAAGTAGGAAAATCATTACTTTAATTTTAAGGCTAAAAATCAATTATTACACATGTCGCATTTCTATTGGCTGGTGTACCGGATACCTACAAAAATTTCTCCAATAGAGAAATGAGGGTTTAAGGTTTGTTCGCTAAACCCTGAGCTAAGCCAACCGTGGTGGATAGTCTGTTTGGGTTTGGGCCCACCCGAATTCCACTTAAAGGATCTATTTATCTCCGCCCAATTAACAAAGGGCCGTTCCGGATTAGAAATACTTTTTCCCAGAATTCTCACCCTTCAGTAATACAGTGAGTCTATAGACTCGGGACTATCAGACAGGTACTGGGCGAGCCAAGAAATTTTGGCTGCTACCGTCGGTATAGTGGCTGAGATGCAGCAGCAACAACAACAGTTGGGTTTTGAAGAATCTTCAAATATTGGTAGCCATAGGGTGAGTCTATTGATTCGTCACCTTCCAGAAGCCATTCCTGAGGAGACCCTGTTTCGGCTGTTGTCCCACTATGGTGCTTCTTCTGTGCGCTCTTGCTCTGCTACTGGCCGGTCAATGCTCTCTTCTCTTCCTTTTCAATTGTTTGCCTGTTTCCTTTTGTCCCCCTCACTTTGATCTGTGTATATGAATATAGGTTGAGGAACTGCGCATTTGTAGATTTCCAAAATGAAGGCTTGGCTTACCAAGCACAGCGTCAGTTGAACGGGTATTGCCATATCTCTTTTACTTTCTTGATTCAAGCAAAAATGTCATATTCTAATGTTCTGTTAATAATTGAGTTGGTGGCTGTGTTTTCTTTGTTGGGTAGGCTGAGGTTTCTTGGTAAGGTCTTAAAAGTGGAGAGGGCGACCGCTAATAATGATAAGCCATCGCAGGCTGCTAACAAGGATTCTCTTTCTATAACCGCCACTTCCAAATCATCTTTGGTCCACAATCCTACCATCAATAGAGATATTCAAGAAACTGAAGTCTCAAGATCAGAGCCCATTGCCCCTAGGCTTGGTGTAGACTATCCCTTTCCTCCTCACCTTGAGTATGTTATACCTTTTCAATTTCTTTAAATTCGTGAGACATTTTTTATGAGGATATCTTTTTTATGAGTATTACATACATATGTTTTGTCTATTCTTCATGTGATCGTCTGATGTATATTTTTTTCGTTTCTTTCTTATTCTTCTAGAGATTATAAACTATCATCAATACTTGTTACTGTATTTTCAAGTATGTTCTGAATTCATATTACAAGAGTTCCTTTGATGATCCTATTGTCTTTGGCCCTTAGTGGCCGGAAAGGAGTCTCTCAATTTCAACCAAACTATAGCTATCTTAATACAAGGCTTAGAAGATATGGTTTGGTGAAATGAATGAGGCTACAGTGGCTTAAAGTTTCAGCTTCTTGTTACAAAGACAATAACCCAGTTACCTTTGGCCTCCCTTGACGTATTATCTCATATTGTGGTATGAATGGCATGCTATATCTGTTATGAATGCCTAATAGGTTGACATTGCTCTGTTATGAATGTCCAATCGGCTTATCTTTCATTACAGGTATGCTTACCCGCCACCGGATGGAAATATACTGACCAACATTGTAAATGCTCTTATTGCCGTTCCTCGATTTTATACACAGGTTCTCTCTAATCTCATGCTAAGCTAATGTTACTATACTTTGGCTCCCTTAATTTGAATTTCTACTTCGTTTTGTCTAGTCAACTAGACATATTTTTGCAGCCATATCAATTAAGACTTAGAATAATCAACTGTAGGTTTTGCACTTGATGAACAAAATGAATATACCAGCTCCATTTCGTATGGCTCTTCCCTCTCCACCGCTACCACCTTCAGTGCCCGTGCCACCACCACCTCCCCCTCCTCTAGCTGCTAAGCCTCCCTCAGCAGATTTATCAAGTGAAGAGTCAGAAATGGAGTCTTCAGACGAGGTAACTACTTGCCTTTAGATTGCTAAACGCTCATTAGATAACATTTGTATGTGAGAGAGAGGATAGAGACGAGGGAAATGAAAGAGAAGAGGGGTAGTATGGTTTTATTTAATTATTTATTTAAAAAAACTGAGAACAATTTAAAAAAAACAAACAAACAAAAACCATTGCAAATACTGAAAATTTTACCAGACAAGCACCAATGCATCTGGACCACATTGATCATTTCTTTGTGCATGCAATCTACAAATACCATGTGCAAAGAATACTTTCTTCTCCCTAATTCTGGAGATTTAGAACCAGAGGCATGGCAGCTTTTGCTTGCCAGTGCTCAAAAAAGTTCAGTTGCAAATTTTTTCTTTTAAAATAAGTTTTCAAGAAGGATAATTTTTAATTCATCTGCATATCTACACGTTTGTATACCATGGGGAAATGATTTTGTGTTTCTCCAATTTGATATGCGACAAGCAATTAGTTACACTGACTGTTTAATTATTCTAGTTGCTTTGTACATTCTTTGAGACTTTGAATTGAATGTTATTAGGAGGTTGATGGAAAACCCTCGAGCGGAACTTCAAGAGGACGGAAGCGTGTCAAACGAGAAGCTATTGTTGGTCCCGCAGTTGATAAAGATGTAGCTCATGAAGATGTTGGATTGAAACCGGCTATTCTGGTCCCTAAAGAGAGGCCAATGATAAAAAAGAAGAACCCTATCGTACAGGTGATTTATTTTTCAAGATGAATGATCGTATTTGTAGTATGATCTCTTATCTTCAAGTAATTTTTGATATATTTTCTTGCTTTGTTGCAGATAAAAATTGCCCCCAAAGTTGTTAACAATGAACATAAAGATGATAGCATTACCAAAGATTCAGAGCATCCAAAAAATGAGAGTTCAGATATTAACTCTTTTGCAACTCCAGAAGAACTAGAAAGAGGAAAGTTGCCTCCAGAAGAAATATTATCGCTGCCGATGTTTAAGGTATCAATATCGAAAATTTTGCTTTATTTTGGTAAAATGAGCATGCGACACAATCAAATTTACTAATTTCTCTGTGGAAGGATCAAACATGTATTAACCCAAATTCTTATCATGATAATATGACAGTCTTAAGATATAATTCAATAAAATTTTAAGTTTTTTTTCTTAGTTGTTTTCATAGTATGTTTCCTCGTTTTAGTCACTAGTTTTAATTTTTAAAATTTGTTTTTGTTTTCTGGTATTAAAAACAATAAAAAAAACGTGACTTTATTATAAAGTTTGTCACCATTGATTAGCATGAAACCAGAGTTAACTTTTAAAAGTCCATGGCAACGCAAAAGAGGATTTTTGTGTCTGCGGTTAACTTTTTGCAAGCAAACTTGTTTACTATTCTAATTTTGCTTAGTCTGTATTTTGTACCGGGTTGTTTGTGGAATTCAATTGCTTTGTGCCTATTACATATTATACAAGGTTGGTAGGTGGGGGCTGGCATCAGAGTCTGAGGAGGTGCCAAGTAGCCAGCAAAAATATATATGAATTTTGAGGAACTTTTTCCTAATAAATATAGCTGACAAAATTAAGATAGACTTCCAAAAAAATAGTATGAAAATCTCATTTGGAGTCTTCAGAACTATGCAGCTGGGAATCCTGCCTCTGTGTTGTATATAAAGAACCTGGCAAAGGACATTGTTGCTGATGACTTCTACTACATATTTGGTGAGCTCACAATCCTGATGAATTTTATATCATTCGTTTAATCTTCTTTTACAGTAGGTTCGGAATCTTAGTTTCTTCTGCATGTTTTTTGTTTTGAGATTTCTAAGAGTAGACTGTTGAGCAAGTGATTTCTTTACACTTCATTTCTCTTCATATCTCTCTTGTTTTTGGTGTCCAGTCAGGAGATATGGCTCCAAATCTCCTTGTCCAAGAACTGTCAAACTGGTTAACCTTTCTACCTGCAGTAATGCTTATATTGTGCTTGTAGGGTCATTATTTGGAAGCGTTGATGCAGCCAAATCTGGTCTCAGTCTAAAGCTTATGCAAGTAAGGTCTCTTGATCAACCTCTATGTTTCCAAGTGAAGCTTTGCATATTTGATTCAGTTTGATGTCTTAAGTTGTTTTTTAGATGCACCACTTTTGAGGTAGTCTTTTAAAGTACAATAGCAAACAACATTTTGTTGTCTTTTGTAATTAAGTATGTTGGCGGAGCCTTGCTACTCTTAGTAAAAGGATACGGAACACAACTGTCAAATGAGAAAATTGTGAGAACCTCTCTTTGTCCATCAACTTCTGACGGACCAGACAAAAATAGGTGAAAAAAGAGAAGATTATGAGGTGTTGTGAGCCCAATTTGAGAGGAATATGGTGGACTATAAGGTTGAACAAGAGTTTTACCATGCCTTTTGAAGAAAGGATCTCAGAGTCCATTTATAAATTTGAATGCCTTGATGAAGACTACTTGTTGTGAAGATTTCATTCTTTATATATAGTCTCTGGCATGATATATATAGTACTGAAACCAATTGCACTTTTTTACTGATCTTTGCATCTGCATCAAGTGACAGTTTCCTACTTGCATGAGCTGATAGTAATATTTTCATGTCAGGAAGGAAGAATGAGGGGCCAAGCTTTCGTGACATTTCCATCAGTTGAACTAGCCCATTATGCTTTGGTACGTATCTTGCCAATTTCATATAATAATTGTTCTATAATTTAGTACCATGGCGGTCTTGGAGGCTTGCCTGCTAGTTTTATGGTCGTACGGGACAGGGGAAAGCATGCTTCAACCTTATGGGCTGCTTGGTGCAGTCTGTATTTTGGAACATATTGCTGGAGCGTAACAGGAGGATTTTTTTATGAGTATGAGGGAGTGGGTGTTGGTGAATTTTGGGCAGGTTTATGGGCTTCTGTCACTTCAGATTTCAAAGACTCTTCTTATTCCACTATATTGAGGGATATGGCTGCTGCTGTGATGTGAAGTTTTTTTTTGCGTCTGTTTATTTTTTAGCTTTTTGCTGGATCTTGTTCGATTCTTTCTGGCTCACTTCCTTTGGTCCTTTTGGTGTTGCAGACTCTAAGTAGTTTGGCCAGTGCCTTTGTTTTAGTGTGTCTGTTTCTGGTTCTGGTTTCGTCTGTTATTATGTTGCTGCTCGTTTGGCTTGTGGATGCCTTATCCACTTGTTGTTCCTTTTCGGTTCTTTCAATAAATTTTGCTTCTTTTCAAACATATATATATATATATATAGGTTTTTCGATTACATATTGGATTATACAGTTTTGCTTATCATTCAAGAAGATCTCTCTAGTTCTTGTGTTATCTTTCTTTTGAGTTGGAGGAGGTATCAAAGTTCTCACTTGTGCATTATAAACCTTGGTTGCAGAATCTAGTGAATGGGTATGTATTCAAAGGCAAACCAATGATCATCCAGTTTGGCCGGAATCCTGCAGTGGGCAAAGCAAATTAAGGTTGACCATCAGCGGAAAGTTCTAGAGGTTAGATTTTGTTTCTTTCTCTTGCCTTGTATTTATAAGCAAGCTGCTAATACTCTCACTTTTTTTTTTAGTATTATCATTTGAATTTCTAATGACATATTGCTCCTCAGTCAACCATTTATCAGTTTACTAACATCAATAGACGTTCTGTGTTGCAATCCAATCATGTTGTTTTCTTTTTTAATAAATGGCTAGGGGTGGGGTTTTCTCCAGAACTCATAAACGCTTGAATGTCCTGTGGTGCGGTAGAGAGACTTTTATATAGTACTACCACACATGAAGCAAAAAGTGGACTGAGAGCTGGTGCTAAAAAGGTTGAAGATGCATAACCGGATGATCTCAACAAGGCAATTCCTGCATCAATTCAAAAGTTCTAAAAGTACTGCATCAGAAGGCATAGCTTTTTAGTAAATTTAGGTTTTAGCCATAAAAAAACTTTCACTTTAGGTTCTAAACCCTAGTTTTTTTCATTGATCCATGCTGTCTCCAAGACCTGGCATCTGTCTCCAAGACCTGGCCAATTAATTGACCGTACGATTCGACTTGTGGAGTCGCTGATGCAGGGTACCAATTGTGGCATTCCTCTTCCCATTGTCCATATTGTCTTTTTTTCATTTTTATATGGAAATGAAAATTTTTTGGGGGTTATATTTTTCAGTTGTAGGCTTAAAAGATACAAAGATGAGAAGCTTGTAAAGGCGGAATTAAACAAGCAAACTGACTATTTTAATTTCATGATTTAAAGGGTGAATTCGGATGAAAGGATTTAGATTTGAGTTTCATATATAAATTGCTTAATTGAACCTTAGATTTGGGATACTTTTCTCTTGAGTATTAAACATTTGATTGTAAAGTAACAAAAAAAGTTTATTTAAAAAACAAGTAATCATTTTTAGGATTTTAGGGACTAATTCGGAAATCTAAACAAGCCAGAGAGACCAAAAAGTATCTTTTAGCCCAAAATGAATGAGACCACCAATTCAAGGTCCAAGGAGAAAAGCCCATTTAGCTAAGAGATGAAAAATGTTCACCTCAGGAAAGAATAATGCGAACCTTTCAACGTGATAGTGCTTTTTCAACTCTCTCAAAATGGAATATATTCCAAACATATATGCCATGGTTTCTTACTTCGACATGATACAAATATCTAACTTTTATATCTTTAGATACTTTTTCAGACCTATTGCAGATACTAAGTAGCGGCCAAAAATTTGTATCCATTTTTCATGATATTATGCATGGATCAGATATATCATGGTGAATTCTTCAGAAAAAATTGTGTCTTCCACAATGGAATTCTTACCACATTTGTATTCATATCACCTTATGTGGTAGATGAGGTGGACAACCACATATCAATTAAAATTATTTAACATTTTCTTTTCTTTTATGATTTATTAACACCTTAAAAAAATTGTCAATTAAACTATCTTTATTAAAATACACTTCATTGATTTAATTGATGTGACATATGATATGAACATGCCACATCATGTGGTATAGAAATGTGGGATAAAAATGTGGTAAATGTAGCATTACTCCCTCAGGAAAAATGTCAAAATTGAATATGAATTATTGAGTTATTGTTTGCAAGAGACCAAATTTTAAAGTAAATTTTTTAAGCTCCAAGGGATTTTAGATAACGAGAAATTTTTGTATGCACAAAAATAAAATATTTTCATCTCGACAAAAATTATTCCGTCTAGACAAAACATAAATCTTCGTCCACAAAAATGCTAGGAGAAGTTGTAAATAGTAGCCTTGTTCAATGTTAATTGATGACAGGGGTTTAAAACCCGTTGAAAGCACTTTGTGGTCAGGAGTAAGCCGAACTCCGAGCGGGGATTAATCTCATTCTTTGAATGTGGTGACACATCGTGGTATTTACCAACAACAAAAAAAAAAAAAAAAAAAAAAAGAACTCTCTTTGTTAATCAAAGATGATTAAAAAAAAAACAATTTTAACCTTTTTATATTAAATAATTTTAATAATTAAAGGTGATAATGTAATTTTAACTTTCTAATCTTCCATTTAAAAAAAAACTAAAGAAATAACTTTGTATTTAATTTGTTTGGAGAAAGAATATTTAGTTAAAAGAAAAAAAGAAAAAGAAAAACCTAGGAAAATCTCGGTACATTATGAACTGGTCTGTGGCTCTGTGATCTGGGTCTCATCACTCCAAGAGCCACAGCAATCCTGGTCAATCGAAACATGAACAACGGCGAGCAAAGACGCTTAAATGGAGAGGCAGAGGAAGACGAAGACGAAGACGATGCAAACAATGGAGGCCTCGCTGCTTGGGAACGAGCCTACGCTGATGAGAGGTCATGGGAGTCACTGCAAGAGGACGAGTCTGGGCTTCTTCAGCCCATTGACAACCAGAGCCTTAAACATGCTCAGTACCGTCGTCGCCTTCGTGCTGCCTCCACTGCTCGAATTCAAAAGGGTCTTATTCGTTATCTTTACGTTGTTATCGACCTCTCTAAGGTATTTGATTCCCATTTGCTTAATACCCTTTTGAGCTCTAAGGAAATTTTGTTCAATTTTGGTTATGGGTCTGTCTGTTTGTGTTTGGAGAGAGAGAGAGTTTAGCTTATTTTTCTTTGGTTTGATCTGATGGAATTGGTTTTTCTGGAATCTTTTGTTTAGTAAAGTTTGGAACTTCAAATTGATTTGAAGTACACTGACTTTATTCTGGATTGAAGAATGGTTAGAGCTGAGTGAGGACAACCAAGGACATTGGTTTATATCATCTTCAATCAATAATGAAAATGATATATTAAGATACATGGATGCAGAAGTTCTTTGATAGTTCTGGGTGATATCTACTTAATTTGTGATTTCAAATTGTTGCCTTTGGTTTCTTTTAATATTTGTAGGCTGCTGCGGAAATGGATTTTCGACCAAGCCGAATGGGTGTGGTTGCAAAACATGTTGAGGCTTTCATTAGAGAGTTTTTTTACCAGAATCCGCTTAGTCAAGTTGGCCTGGTGACTATAAAAGACGGTGTTGCTCATTGCTTAACCGATCTTGGTGGCAGTCCCAATTCTCATGTTCAAGCTTTGATGGGTAAGCTGGAATGCTCAGGTGACTCGTCCCTACAGAACGCATTGGATCTTGTACATGGGTATCTGGAACAGATTCCATCATATGGTCATAGAGAAGTTCTGATCTTATATTCAGCTCTCAGTACCTGTGATCCAGGAGATATAATGGAAACTATCCAGAAATGTAAGCAATCCAAAATTAGGTGCTCAGTTATTGGTCTCTCAGCAGAAATTTTCATATGCAAACATCTATGCCAGGAAACTGGTGGCTTGTACTATATTGCATTGGATGAGGTAAGTTCAACTAAGTAACCCTACACTACTAAAATAACATGAATTCTGGTTTTTCAAGGCATTTGAGCACAAATTCTATCATCTGGATGAAACGTTTCTCAAGAATGACCGTGATGATAACCCAAAATAAGAAACAGTGTTGTCATAGAGACTGGAAAGTGGTCACAAAATAAAATAATTTTTTTTTTTTTTTTTTTTTTTTTTTTTTGAGTCTGATGTTCATCCAGTTATTTATTAGATTTAACCGACAAATTTGTTTTTAAAACATTCATTCTGATATGTATCTCCTTGCGTAGCCACACTTAAGAGAGTTAATCTTGGAACATGCACCTCCACCACCAGCAATAGCAGAATTTGCAATTGCTAATTTGATAAAGATGGGCTTCCCACAAAGAGCGGCAGAGGGCTCTGTGGCAATTTGTTCATGTCACAAGGAGGCAAAGGTCGGAGGTGGTTACACTTGTCCAAGGTGCAAGGCACGTGTATGTGACCTACCTACTGAATGTCGCATTTGTGGGTTGACGCTCATTTCTTCTCCTCATTTGGCAAGGTCTTATCATCATCTTTTCCCCATCGTGCCATTTGATGAGGTCTCTCCATCACTACTAATTGATCAACAAAACAAGTTTCCTAGAGCTTGTTTTGGCTGCCAACAAAGTCTTCTCAATCCCGGTAAGTATTTATGTACATAAAATAGATCATTTGGAGCTTTTGCAATAAATTTGATCATACATGCATTTGAATGGCATTTCTACTGGTCATCTGTGTTTTTGTTTGGTTATGAAATGTTGTAGATGTAGATCAGTCATGTTTTCTATGATTGTGTTGCTGTCAACATTAAAACTTCTGCACGTCCAATAAGGAAGCTGGGAAGCTTAGTGATTCTTTGCCATAATGCAATTGTTCCCCAACTAACATGCTCCTTAGGAAGCAGCATCTAGCTGCTTTTGGGTGTAATAATGATAAGACTACTTAAGAGGAGAAGAGTCTAAATTGGAATAGGTTAGATGATGAGAGAATGAGAGGCATCTTATCCCCTCCAAAAAGAGGCAGTAATAGAAAAGTGAAGGAAGAGAAAAGGCAATAAAAGTGAAAAGGTG